AAGGGGGGCGAGGGGGGGCGTGGCGTGTGCCGCTATGTCCGCTACGCGGCGCCGCGCGCGCGCCGGGGGGACTGCCAGCCGGACGGCATCCACGGCAAGCCCCGCGCCCCGCGCCCGTCTGTTTGAGCCCCGTGGAACCTTCATGCGATGCGTACTTCAATATCAATTCCAGCGTACACCAATTTTTTTGTTGATTTTTATTTGATTTTTTCTTCTGATTTTTCTAGGGGTTTTCATCATTTTTTTTTGATTCTTTAAAAGCTGTACACTGATATTTGTTTCGAGTAAAGTATCCCTCACCTTTATACACCACCGTGTCGTTCCTTTGCAGACGTGGAGACCACCCCCGACCACTGGGTGCAGGTGGAGGTGTCGACGCTGCGGCCCTCCCCGCCGCCCGCGCCGAGCAGCAGACCCACCGCCAGGCCGACCGCCCGGCCGCCCGCCAGCACCCTGGGCACCACGGCGAGCGGCACCGCCGGCACCACGGGCACCCTCGGCACCACCATGGGGACGACGCAAGGGACGACGGCGGGCACCACCCTCCCCGTCACCAGGCCGGCGACGGAAGGTCAGTCTCGTCCGTGTGCTGTAACGTAAACCTGGACCGCCTCTCCCTATGGGTCGCGCGGCTGCCGGCACCTTCGTTTAACTCGACCCGGTTTTCAGCGCCCACGACGGAGAGCATGCCGGAGACCACCGAGCTGCCGAGCACCTTAACGACGTGGAGCACCTCAGGGAGCACAGCCGGGAGCACGGCCGGCACTACGTCCGGGAGCACTAGTGCAGGCACCACTAGCGGCACTATTGTAGAGAGCACTAGCCCGGGGAGCACAAGTCCAGGGAGCACCAGTCCGGGGAGCACCAGCCCGGGGAGCACCAGCCCGGGGAGCACCAGTCCAGGAAGCACCAGTCCAGGAAGCACCAGTCCTGGAAGCACCAGTCCTGGAAGCACCAGTCCAGGAAGCACCGACGAGCCGCCACCACCAGTTCCCGGACTCGATGTTGAGCAACTCACCCAGCTCAACATGAGCGACTTCAGAAACGGTAAGCAAACAGACCGAACAAAATTGGAAGCAGCAAGAGACTAGTCTCTTGGAAGCAGGGACCTGTATGGTTTGGCCCAAGCTCCCGCCACTGTCTGTCGCCTTCGAGTCCCGCGCTGTAGAGCGCCTGCGATTCACAGGGTAGGCAACCCAACGCACTCCCGAGTCGCGATTGCCTACCTGCCAGGCGCGCGGCCCGCGCGCTGCTGATGGGGCCGCTTGTACATCTCGCATCCTGGGGCTCCCTCTGCATACAGTAATGTCCCTCTCGAAGCTTGCAAACCGGGACCGGATTTCAGCTTCGAGAGGACGACCCGAAAGTTAGCCACATGTTGCGAACCTATTGCATTGGCTCGGACTCGGGCATCAGGCGGTTGTAAATGCTTTGTCGTCCGAGCTAGCGCGAGCTCGCCAGGTTGAAAATTCCCATCCTTAAGCAGGGTCCATCTCAAAATTTCAGCTTCGAGCGAGCCAGCTTCGAGAGGAACATTACTGTATTAGCCGGGGGGGGGGGGCTTTAACTGGGCTTCCCGAGGTCGGTACGGATGCCACGTCACGCCACAGCCAGGCGGCGGTCAACATGTCAGCCCCCGCCCGCCCAAGCCCGCTCCAGCACTACCGGCCGCCTCAGCTGGTGTGTTCGGCACGACCACGTCCGCGAGCAAGGACGGCTCGTCGGGGGGACGTGGGCCGCCGAGTGGACAGTGACCCAGACCCACAGCCCGCGGGGCGCGCGGGGGCACTGACTGCTCCGGGGCGGCGGTGGCGCGGACGTGTCGGAGTGACTCACGACGCATGATTTATCCTTGCCACTTACGCCCCTCCCTCGTCCAAGACGTGCCTTCTCTCCACGTCCAGTTTCAGCCGTCCGTTCCAGACCCCCCCCCTCCCCTTTTCCCCTGTCCGCGGGTCCCCACCATCCCCCTCCTCCGCTCCGCAGAGCGGTGTCTCTGGATGAGACGCGGTGGATAATCACGATATATAAAAACACCGCGATGGGGGAAGGCGTAGTAGGGTGAGAAAGGGGGGTGCACAATGTGAAATAAGAAAACAAAAAAGAAAAGGCTTGAGGTGCAGTGCGGGCCGCCTGTATGCGGGTGCGGCCCGGCCCGGCGGGAGGCGCAAGGTACCTCAACAGGTAAGCCGTTGGTTTCGCGCCGTTGCGCTCTCTGGCGGCCGCAGCCTCAAGCTCCCCGGACAACTAACCTCGCCGCCAAGCCCAAACCAAAACAGACGGCCGGCGCCTGCAGCACCGCTGGGCTGGTCCAGGAGGGCGTAAGCCTTCAGCGTCCGCGTCGGACGAGTGCGGGGCGAGCGGAGCGAGGACGCCGGGGAGACGGGAGAGACCAGCGGACCCGAACCATGGCCATCATCAACACCACCCTCTTGCTGCTTTCAGTGTGCGGCCGCCGGCTGTTCCCCGAGGCCAGGATCGTCGGCGGGGAGAAGGCGACGTTCGGCAAGTGGCCGTGGCAGGTGAGTTTCAACTGGTGGAAGAATGCGAAAAATGAAAGGTCACACCCCCCCTCAAAAAAACACCATCCTCTTGATCTTATTTGTGATCTACTTGTCGGGCGGTGGCAGTAAGTTATCGTCCTGCTGACTCAGGATGCCTAGCTCTGGGGAGGAGTGCCAGCTCACTGCGCTCGCCCACACCTCTGTGGGAACGATCGACCGAGACCTGGTTACACAATCAGACACTTCAGACGAACCGGTGTCATTTTTTGCCATTTTCGCGACAAATCAGAGCCTTCTTATCCAGTTACATCGGCCCTTTTCTGGGCGAGACTGGGCTCGCCGCTTTGCATCTCGATTCATGCGTGTTGCAAGAGTCGTAGTGTAGTTAGAGACCAGTTTCCCTGTACGGTTGTGTGAAGGTAAGTGTGAACACGCTTGGTGATTCGAGCCGCATCCGTGAACGGCTTTTGTAGTTGCAGTTCTACTACGGCGTATGCAAGCGTGTGGCCGGGTTGCATACTCACCCGGGGCCGGGGACAGGCGACAGGCAGGCAGTCCGCGCTCGCACGACTGCGTGTGGCTCATCACGAGCCGTCTGCAAAGCAAGAAAGAAAGGCTCTGGAGGGAATTTTGTGACGATTCTGGAGGGAACTGCAAAGCAATGAGGGGGGCCGGTTACGCCTTGCGGTATACGAGCATTTAGCCAAGTCACAACTGGTTCCGTTTGGGACCGAGGGACGGGGTGCGGGGGAACGCCCCCGAGGAGTCAAGGACCCCCGCGGGCTCCCCTCGGTCCGGACGCCGCCTGGCCCAGCTCGTCGCCTCTCTCTCGGGGTGCGAGGCGAGGACAGATTCTTGCAGATTGTACTGTACTTGTCGGTCGGGGCGACCCGATCCCGATCATCGGCGCGAAAACTTGTCATCAGCGACGGGACGCCGGCCGGGGGTATGGGAGGGTGCCGGGTTGTGGAATTCGGTTCGTCGGTCCCCTTGCTGATCAAGGCGCAGGACACGATTCCAGGAGGAAACTGGTTCCCGCACTGCAGCGACGCCGCCGTGGGGTCCCTGGCCCATACGCCAGAGGGGGCAGACGCGCGCCGACGCGGGGCCTTCAGGAGGGGGAGAGCGGGGCTCTGCTAAGGCGGGCTGTATTCTTGTCACGGACTAATGTGCATGCCAGCTCCCGCAGCCAGCTATCCGCTGATAGCACAGCTCCCATATAACTGTTCTGCGCCGCGGGTGCCCCGCCCCGCCCCGCCTTCCCTATTCAAAAAGAAGATTGGATAGAGGAGGCGGGCGAGGGGCGCGAGGAGCGTCCTCGGATGGCTTTACGGGATCGCTCCCTACTTGGCCACGTGGTTCTCTACTCCTCCTCCTCCTTCTCTTCCTCCTTGACGCACTGTACATTACAAACCGCCGCTCCCCTTCTTGCAGATCTCCCTGCGCCAGTGGAGGACCTCCACGTTCCTGCACAAGTGCGGCGCCGCGCTGCTCAACGAGAACTGGGCCATCACGGCGGCGCACTGCGTCGACAAGTAAGTACACCGCGCACACGTACCTGACGCACGGCCAGTACGTGTTCAAACCGCAAGCACTTACCACGCGGAGAAAAATACTTTGGTTGCTGCAACTAAAATGGTGTTCAATCTGCCCCCTGAGTCATAACCATAGAACGTTCTCTCGTGCTGGCTGGGAGTGTTTGGTTGGAGCGTCTGGACGCTCAGCCCTGAGCCATAACCGTAGAACGTTCTATCGTGCTGGCTGGTTAGAGCGTCTGAACCAGCTAGCACGATAGAACGTTCTATGGTTATGACTCAGGGGGCAGATTGAACACCATTTTAGTGACAGCAACCAAATTTTTCAGCCGTGGTGACTTAACATTTTTCTCGGTGCAATTTTACTTGATTTTTTTTGTTTTGTTTTTTTAAAAATAAATTTTTGTGATTTTTTAAAATGAATTTCGTGATTTTTTAAAGTGATTTTTTAAATGAATTTTATGTATTTTTGCTGAGCCGCTCGATGTTTGTTCCCCTGGCAGCGTGCCGCCGACGCACCTGATGCTGCGCCTCGGCGAGCACGACCTCTCCACGGAGGAGGAGCCGTACGGCTACCGGGAGCACCGCGTCCAGCTCATCGCCAGCCACCCGCAGTTCGACTCGCGGACGTTCGAGTACGACCTGGCCATGCTGCGCTTCTACGAGCCGGTCCAGTTCCAGCCAAACATCCTGCCAATCTGCGTGCCCCAGGACGACACCAACTTTGTCGGGCGGACGGCGCATGTCACCGGATGGGGCCGCATCTACGAGGGTGAGTTCCATCAAATGGTTTACAATTAGTAGAGTAGAGTTTACAAGGTCCACCACCTGGCTCCTCAGAGCCCCTTGCGGGTATGCAGCCCAACTGCACGCATGTGTTGCGGCACGGTGTATTACGACCGACCACTTCAAAGTACATTCAGAAACGAGGATAATAAGATTGTTTATTTTCTTTTTCTTCGGCAGAGGGTCCTCTACCGAGCGTGCTGCAGGAAGTGTCGGTCCCTGTCATCAACAACTCTGTGTGTGAGACCATGTACCACGCTGCAGGGTACATCGAGCACATCCCAAACATCTTCATCTGTGCGGGATGGCGGAAGGGCGGGTTCGACTCCTGTGAGGTTCGTACAACTGCCACATATAGAGTTTTAAAAATACTATCTTGAAAAGTTCACAAAGAAACACATTTTTAGATGGTTGAAAATTTTCACAATTTTATACATGACAGTACTAAGAAAAAGTAATAAGTTACAACTTTCTTTTTGCTTGCAGGGCGATAGTGGTGGTCCCATGGTGATCCAGCGGCCGGAGGACAAGCGCTGGGTCCTGGCTGGAGTCATATCCTGGGGCATTGGCTGCGCGGAGCCCAACCAGCCCGGCGTCTACACGCGCATATCCGAGTTCAGAGACTGGATCAACCAAATCATGCAGTTCTAGGCGCACGCTTGCTGCACGCGAGTGCAGTGTGACGGTGCAAGTCAGTGGTGTGCGACCCGTGCCGGGGTCCAGCACGCCCCCACCCGACCAGCGGAGGCGGAACTACCGAACAATCACGCGTGGCCGCGTGTCGGTTCAACTCCACGCCGTCGTTCTGCTGCTGGCGCAGGAAAAACATAACCGAAGACTGAAGAGAGACGGGGCGCCCTGTGGACAATGAGAGGGACCTCCTGAACACCAGAGCGGTACTGAGCGGTGCGCAGTGAAGGGCGGCGGCTGGCAACATCAAACTGCCATATCTAGAACAATCTAGAGAACATAATGTTTCTAGAGTGTTACCTAGAGTGATCTAGAGAAATGATTTCTAGAATAATTAGAGTTATGTGAATGGGCATCGTGAAGGCCCTTCGCTAGTGGTGATGTGTTTCAAACACAACCTGACTCGGGGCCGAGTGATTGTGATATGCTAAGTGCAATGACTATTTTTTTTTTTATTGGAATGACCTTCATTTTTTAGTGTAGGTCTTTGTGCACAACAGTTAATAGTGCGGTCAGGAGAGTAGACCCGGTGCGGCAGTGTCTGTGATGACCATTAAAAGGACTCAGGTCTTTATGCAGATGCGGCCATATCGCTGAAATAGTATGATTCTTATTGTTTGGTGCAATATGTGAATGCTTTAATCCTTTGGTCTTTTAAGTTTCTCAGTTTTGTTGTTAAAAACAAATCAGATATAGTTATGAACGATATCTCACCGTACTGCATAGTTCTTTGTTTTGTTTATTTATTGAAATCATTGATTCCATTTCATGCCACAGTTCAAGAGAATACAAACCTCTTCACACTTTGTGTGTCCTATTTCTTTTAGCGTATTTTTATGAAAAGAATTGCCAATCCTATTTTTATATCATATTAAACTTTGTCTCGCAAAAGAAAACGTATGCACTAAGTGTGATCGTAGTATGAGATGGAGTAAGAGACAATGAGATATTTAACTCAGATGGGTAACCATATTAGAAGAGCATCAAATAGTTGGACAGAAAACAATAATTCAATATCTATTGAAGATGTGTTAAATTACGTTGCAACTGTATTGTATTTTTTTTTATTTTGTTGCTCGACTGGGTTGAATGCCTTATTTTCCATTGTGTTGCAAGAAGTGATAATTGCATATCAAAGTATTTAGAGACCTATCTGTTGATTAATTTATTTTAAAATGTGTTATTTTAATTATTAAATTAATATTTGTACATAGAGATAGAAGGTGTGATGTGTAAATTTTACTTTAATGACAATGATGAGTGAAAGTTTTATTGTTCTTTGCCAAGGGTACTGTGCGAGTGTATGAATGGTTTTGTAATTTATTAAAATAAAAAGTAAAACAAACAACTACATCATGACTTACAAGTTTTGGCGCCATGGTTGAGGTTTGAGCCAGCAGCTTTCCCTGGGTTCCCAGCACAGGATGTCATTTCGTGTCCTTTCCTTCTAGAAAATGCCTATTGATAGCTATGAGTGCTCTCGTTCCTGTCCTATTCACTAAACGCGGTACGGACTACAATATCCAAACGCGTTCTGGAATCCTAGCTCTAGCAAAAGGCTCAGTGGGTCAGACGTGTCCTCCCAGTATTACCATAAACCAAGACTTCCTTTTAATTTAAATGCATAAGAGCTTATAGCGAACACATCGCAGTTATTCCTTCCATCCCCAATAAGGGCTAGAGAGACTCAGGGGCCCCGCACGCTGCGCTGTGATCGGGTCGGCGCTGCTAGGCGCTGCGCCCGCTGGTTGGCCGGGCGGACGTGCCGAATGCACCCCGACGGTCGTTCGGACGACGATCGGCAGCGCCGCCGGGTAGGGCTGTGCGATATACAGATTTTGATATCGCGATACGATATTAGGCAGGTATCGAGCATCGCCTCGATACATCGAGGCTCGATATTATCGAGGTATCGAGGCATCGTGGGTATCGAAGCCTGTCGATGGCGCGATAGAACACGATATCGAGGTATATCGTGCTTAAAATATGCTACAATACCCACGATATGCCTCGATATCCTCGATATTATCGAGCCTCGATAACGATATGCGATATCGGGAGCATATCGAAGCCCTCGATATCAACATGATATCGTATCGATATTGAAATATCGAGATATCGCACAGCCCTACGCCGGGCGCACTCCGGTGCAGCGCTGCCGCGCATCTGTGTCGCCTGACCCTAGGAGGCTCGCTGAAGCCCGGCGGGCTCCGGAGGGTTCGCAACTCCCTGCCCTTGTGAGGCCAGATGTTAGGCTGGCCGACGGAGCCGCCCAGTGCCGACCCAATCACAGCGCAGCGCGCGGGGCCCCGAGTTGACGCCTCTCTCCCTCTGAGTCTCTCTAGTAAGGGCCGACAGACAATATCCACCGTGAGCCACGCTTCATCCCCAGCCCCCCAAACAACCATGGGGCGCATGGGATCCCCATGCCAATGGACACGATGCCATGTAAAATAACGATTTACCACGAGAATTGTCTCTTTTACCATGTGAGATATTTCCTCATGGACGGGAATAACACTTTCCATAGTAAAGTCTTTCATTGAAAGACACTTTTCAATGGTGATTTTTTTAAGTGAAGAAAATTCCATGGGATCTATTTCCCCATGCTAATTTTTTCTCACGGCGAACATGCTGTACCTCGGCGGATGTACAATCTCCACGATTGCCCATTTTTGATTCATTGAGCTCTAAACACTTTTTTCGGTAATCTTGAATACGGCTTGAGCTACGCTAAAATGGACTGTGGATTTGGCTTTGACGTCCCTGTTTGTAGCTACAGGATTGTAGCTACACCAGACAGTGCCCGAGTCAGCTTAAACCGAACCGTCTATACTAATTCATTACTTCCGCCAATGCTAGAATATCAACCAGAAGTAAACAGCGCTAAGAACTAAAGCGAAAAGAAAGATGTCAATGCCTCTCCGAAGCTCTCGCCTTGTCCAAGCGCTCGGAGAGGGCCGCGGGGGCCCGATTCAGAAAACCATTGCCTACCCTCCAGGCGTTTTCAGCGACAATCATCGACCCACGCCTAGATAAACACGGCGTTACTTCCTAGATTTAGAAAGAATTTATGAGCATGGGGTCAAAAGAAGCCTAAACCCAAAGTCACCGTCACGACAGACGCCTTAGAGAGAATCCGTGGCCTACCTCGCAGGCGTCCAAGCGACAACTCGTGTAACGGCGACAAGTGGTAAGTAGTATTTATGGACACAAAAATGTGGCCACAAATGGGGCAACATACGATGTCCGACGCCACCAGCCACACGCCCCTTTTGTGGTTAAACAGTTGTAGCTACAGTCGACATGACCGCATGCAGCTTCATCCGAACCAAAATTGTCGGCCCTAAGATCAACTCCCGGGCGGGGCAAATTTTCTCTTTGTCGCTTTTTGTCTCCCGTTTGGCAGGACCGAGCTCACACCTCGGCTCCGTAGGAGCAAGCTGGTAGCTGTTGCGGTCAGCGCATCGCGCCGGCAACTTAGGCAACCCTTCTGCAAACCTCCCCGCGATGACGTCACCGGGCTTCTGCCGAAACCCTGCTGGATGAACACCCCGGCTCGGCTCGGTTCGACCCCGGGTTGCGCTACGCTCGGTCAGAAAACGTCAGTCAGCTGCGAGCCGCCGTGAGACAACGCGTGCATCGCTCGCTCGTCGCGAGAGACACCCCAACCTCAACGACAAGTCCTAACCTCAAGGAAGCATGCCCGACAGGTGTGTAGCGGTGCTCAGCAAGGTGCTTTGTACATTTATTGAGGTTACATCCTATTCATGGTTTTCGAACCTCAGGGCCGTCGGACACGGGTCGACAACACCCAAGATGATGGGCTAGACGAGTAACCTCAAGCCGCCCCGATTCAAGCTCTGCTGCAGCACTTCACCTCGCACGCCGTCGTCGTCCTTGACACCGTCCACTACGCCGGCGGCGTCTCCATAACCTGTGCAATGTGATACTACTGTACGTTTATGTAATAGTACGGTAGTGATGTGGTGAGTGTGGCGCTCTGCGCCCCTTCAAAATCCCTGGGCCCTGGGTGCACACTAGGGTGTGTATCTATATTTATACCGGTATAATATGTAATTCTAGTGTATCTGTAATTGTTTCATTGTGTATTGTGTTTGAGATTTTGCACGTTTATGTGTGTTAAACTATTCACCAATAGGCCAATCAACTTATTTGTTGTTCGTACCATTCCTATTATGAATCAACTCTACTATATCAGCTAAATTTGCTGTTTTGAGCTAAATAATGTGTGAATGTTTGCCTAGTGAATGATTATATAATGTTTTGACTGTCACTTTGGATCGTCATTTCTAATTGTTGATATTTTGAGATTGTTTCTCTAATTTTGTGGGTTAACGTGCCCCACGTATTGTTATGCTGCCTGAATATTCCTGGGTATTGCTTATCAATAAAAATAATATCAATAATAAACCAAATAGCTCTTACTATATTGTTGGTATGGGAGAGAAGGGTAATGCCATCATAAATCTTAAATAATTGGCTGAGCGATTAGCGAAGCCCATTACTCCACTGACCGGA